AATAAGATGGATGCTCCAGCTGACGATTTTGAATGACGGATGAAGTTCTTGGCTAGATTCTCGTCGATGTACTTCCGTTACTGCGCCAACTCCGTCTGCGATAGATTGTAGATTGAGCCAAAAGGCGGTTGTGCTCCTTTCTGTAAGTCTGTGGCGCAATCATATGATCGGTGTTCCGGTAGTATGTCGGCATTCTTCTTTTGAAACACGTCTTTAAAATCCTTATATTGCTCAGGTATACTTGCTGTCGAGATCTTCTCCTTGGTAGTTGGAGCCGCATAAATGACAAACGGTGTGCCTTCGTTGGACGATCTTATAAACGCTCTTGCTCCAATGAATAAGGATTTTTCTATTCGGGGTTTTCTATTAGGCTTGCTCTTGGATGGTTTTGTGGAAAAGGTCATCTTCTACAACCTCCAATCTATGGATGGATTATGCTTTTCCAACCAAGAAAGACCAAGAATAATAGGATTTGATGGGATTCTAATAATATTAAAAATAATATGATTGCTATGGCCTTTAAACGTTACTTCTATAGGTTTTGATTCATGGGTGACACTACCAGACAATAAAGGTCACCCATTTATGACCTCAACGTGAACAGGTTTGGATTTTTGTATTAAAAGGATCTTATGACGCTTCGCAAATTCTTCATCTAAGAAACAAGCAGATGCTCCTGAATCTAATAATGCTAAGGTTCTCAGTTTTTGAGGGCCAATAAGCAAAGGGATTGTAAAGCAAAGGGCAGGTTGAGAGGAAAGAAAGGAACCTGGTTGTTGTTGCGATATTTCACTGTCCAGTTGAACGATTCCTATTGTGGCTGGGCATCTTTGTTTTCCTGAACAAACGTGCCCTTAGTCCTGACAATATGTCGATTTTGCTTCTTGGGGCAGTTTCCAACTTTGTGGCCTTCTTCACCACAATACAAGCATAGACCTTCCTCCATACACCGCTTTTTTTTCTTCTAGAGTAAGTGATTTGATACGTACCGCATCAATTTGCATGTCTTCTACCTCTGAATGTGAATTCATTCTGCTTGCCGACATAGTTGGGGCATGGCAAATCGTATGTTGTCTTGAATGTTGGTCTTGGCGGCGTTGAAATAGGCAATTATTGCACTTCACAACTTGGCTAATAGCTTCGTTGAGCATTTGCAGATCAGGAAGAGTTAACAACAAATCCTTCATATCGTCCCTTAAACCCCAATAGAATTGACTCATCAATGCTTCTTCGTCCCAATTGATGTCACATGCTAATTGCCTGAAGTCTGATGTATAGATTGATGTAGAGCGCATCCCTTGTCGTAATGATTGAATCTTTGTTGTAGCCCATCGAACCTTGTTGTGTTCACTAAATGCTTCCGCAAACGCCTCCAAAAAGGTTTCAAAGTTGTTTAGTATGGACGATCGTTTCTCAAACAAAGGAGCAAACCATGATAGAGCTTGTCCTGTAAATAAGGTTCCAACAAGTCCAACATGTGACTCGTCCATTGGATAGTGTTCGGGCTGTAAAACTGTTATCAACCTAATTTGGTTGACGAATCCTTGAAACTTGGAACGCGTACCATCGAAATTGTCCGGAAGGCTAACTCGGGGCTCCTTATGTTGTAGAATCAACGGTGCTTGTCGAACCTGAGGTAAAGTTGCTTCTCCAAGTGCAGAAGTTTGAGGTTGGTACAACCTAGATTGTGTCATCTCAGATGCTCCATCATTATGAAGTCTTGCCACGATTCCTTCAATCTCTGCAGTTCTTTGTAATAACGTAGCGAAGACATTCATGATAGCATCTAACTTGGACTCCAAACTTTCCATCATATTAATGTCTTGGCCTCCAGCCATTCTAAGAAAAGGACAAAAATGACTCTACAAGAAGACAATATTGGTTTAGAGGAGGGTACTCCGCAACCTCTAAAATGCCTTAAGAGCTTCAAGAAAAGGGGTAATCCACTCTCTCCAAGAAGAATAAGACTCCAATATTGTAACAAAAGAAGTATCAGTTTAGAAGAGCGTAATCTGCAACCTCTAAAATGCTACTACACTTCCAAGCAGAGGAGTAATCCACACTCTAACGAGGAAGAAACTAGCTCTAATATCTGAGGTGAGTGAAGTCTCGACAAATTGTCACGGACATAGAAATACAGACTCGAGATCTAACAAGAAGTTCAAGAAGAACTGGCAAGAGCTAGATTAATCAGATGAATACAAGAACAACACCAGAGAGGTGAGCTAGAGCTCCAAGAGATGTGTTGTCGAGACTGAAGAACTCTTCAACCTCGATTCTAATATATACTCCTATTTAGGAAGCTTTTCAAGCAATTTCCATCAACTAAGAAGCTTCTAGAAGGTTCCAGAGACTTGCTTCTAGAAGATTCTAGAAACTTGTCTCTAGAAGGTTTTAAGGACTATGTCCCTAACACCAACTTATATTACAAGTAGTCAATATGTCGACATGTAGCCTCCTTGTTGGCCAAGTTTTCAATCTACCAATTACCTATAGACATGTATAAAGGCAAAACATCATCTATGAAGCTTCTAGGAAGCTTTCCACAAGATATTATCATATTTATTTACTTTGACTTATTTCTACCTATTCTTATTATCTAGATAATTATCAGGATAAATATGTATGTCCGTGACAATTTGTGGTACTAAAGAGATGGAGAATCAACAACTAATAGATTAAACTCAAGAATTATTGTTTGCTGATTTATCAGATGAGACATTACGATTGTTACAACTTTCAAGATGACATAATAGAAATAAAGATCTTCAAAAATAACATATTTTTCTTCGAATATATGGCAAAATATAACATGTTTGATATGACAATCTTATAAGAGATGCCTAATATTTGGTGATTTTATTGGAGGTAGGAACTACTCTTGATGGAATTCCAAATGTTTTATTTGAAGGACATTATGAAGGCCTCAATAATGATCAAATAATATGGTGGTCTTTTAACCTTGGTTTGAGATACTATTAATGGCTAAGAAGACCTAACAACTACCTTTGAAGGAAACAAAGATCAAATTATATGACAAACACAATTCATTATATCTTCAACTTCTTCAACATATGATGACTACTCCTCATAGAACTTTTTTCTAGAAGGGAGGATAATGTAATGGACATACATATTTATTTGGATAAAAATCCTAAGTAGAAGATAAATATATATAGATTTGATATTATCTTGTGGCAAAGCTTTTTAGAAGCTTCATAGATACATATTTGACTTTATATAAGTTTAGAGTTGATTAATAGGTTAGAAACTTAGCAAAGAAGTTAGCCATGTATCGCATTTGTAGATAGTTTGTAATAGAATCTAATAATGTGACATGCATATAAGAAACTTGCTTTACAAGATACATGTCTTATAAATTAGACATATGTTAGAGGTCCTATAAAATGTTGCTATGTAGCTCCTAATTAGATAGTATATATGGAGGCAAGAATGAAGCCTTCTTCACTCTTGTCAATGCCTTTCCAATCTTGAATCTTATTTTAAGACATTTTAATCTTTTTATCTTTAGTAATAGCCATTCTAATTTAATATCATACCATCTTTGATTTGACAATTTTTTTCTGAGTCTTAGGCAATTGGGTTCTTTGCAGGATTATAAGAGGGTCCCAAGATTCAACTACTTCCTTGCATGATGTTATATTCTACAACACACCAAAGAAAGAGTTTTCATAAGTTTGCAATGATTGTGGTATACATTCATGGTTGAGCACTGATGATGAAGAGAGGACTAGGAAAGAGAAGAAGCTTCTCAAGGCAGCAGCCCAGTTCACGCAATCTAGAAATGATGGTTGTGGAAATTGGCTTGGTTGCCTTGGAACCAAGGCAAGTGCCCACTAGTGACGTGGAAAAATGATCGGAGTTTGACAGAACCAGACCGTGCAGGAGCTGGTGTCTGCTGGAATCCACCATCTTGCCCCCATTTGACTGGATTGAAGGACTTGGGGGAAAAATGGATGTTTAGCAAATAGAGTATCGAGGACCAGGGTGGTGCAGTACTTGGCTGCTCACTGACGAGGGGATACAGTCAAAATTTTGACGAGGGGATACAGCAAATAGAGCATCTTCACTGTCCAGGGGATACAGTCAAAATTGACCCAAATCAGTTTCACTGGTTTTTACATGAGCCCTTAGGAAGGTGAAGGTGGAGGTTGGAGAGTCGGTCCCATTCAACAGCTTCAGGTGGTGGGAGTCGCCATCTGAGTTAGTCCACGTTTGCCACCGTGTCAGTTGTGAGTTCGGTGAGATGCCTGAGTCTATGGGGCTGGATTACTGCCATTTTACTTGGCACTGAAACCAACAAGACGCTTAGAAATGTTTTTGCAGTCCCTTTGAGAAAGTCCATAAAACTGGTGTTGTGTGAATCGATGCAGGGGGGACTACCACACAGAGGTTTCGCCATTGATTTGCAGTTACAGTGTCGTGATCGGTGTAGAGTTCAGGGCATCAGAAGTTTCCACATCTCGAGGATGGTTGTGGTGTCTAATCCCGAGAAATGGTTTATCCTTGACAGCGATACCCATGGGGTGTCACACCTGATTAATTCCAATGAGAAATTGACCTGTTTCCTATAAGATTAGTTATATTAAAACGACGCTGACAATTCTGATGTATTTGAGGTTGACCAGAATCAGTGTGGCGTAACGCAGCAAAAGCAATGATTGAAGGTCACCAGCCAACCACCTGTTTGAAGTCTGCAATTCGTCAAAGTTGGAGTGATTGCATGATGGCCTAGCCCTCTCTTTTGAAGAGATACCTTCTGGAATCCAGACAACCAATACACATTTTCTACAGTCCCAGTGGGGGCACAGCCACAAGCGAAGTGAACTCGTATAGTCACTGTTTTCTCTACTGTCGGTTACTGTGTTCGATTGAAAGATTTGGCAAATGTTCCAAAGTACAAAAGAGACCCTCCGATGCAAATGTGGCTCTATTCTTGCATTTCCTTGAGAACAACCAAAACAAAAACACACATAAAATACTTTGTCTAAAATGAACAACAAAAGAGCTTCGATTACGATTGAAGAGTAATCCAGGAGCATTTATGTATCACGAGTCGTACCAAAACTAAAGTGGACATGAAAATGTGCTTAAAACGCACAGTACCCCTGATAAGAGTAAAAAAGAGCATGAAACAATTTATTTCTCAAGTTTACTGATAAAAGTGTCCAGAGGAGCCAATTCATTCACAATATCCACCCACTCCGGCATTCCCTGCATCAGAGGAACAGTCCGTGTCAATTGCATACCGATTACATGATCATTACACAGGGAATTGACATCTTGTAATGAAAAAAGAGGTAACGTAAGAAGCTCATGTAGGTCCTCAAGCATGCATCACTCGAACCCAAAGCAGAAGGTAATGTCAGATGAGTTTATGGAACTTTACAAACTAAAAAAAAAAGATACAAATTATTTAGTTTTAGATGAAAATTAATCATGTGAGGTTGAAGCAAACATTTTCCGGAATCATGGTTATAAAAAATGAGCAAGCAGAGAAAAGAAGCAAAAGTCGAGTTTTGGCAACTCACTCGTCCAGACTTCCGGATTCTTCCATCAAGCCGCAGAACAACGAAAACGTCTTCTCCAGGCGTCACTCCTTCCGATTCTTGCTGCTCTCTTACCCAACTACAATAATTTTGTAAAATTCCACAAGTAATTAGTGCGAGGACAAAGAGTCACATTGGAGATACTATTCCAAACTGTAAAATGTAATCAACACCTATAACTTCTGAGGAACTATGTAGAACGTGCCAAATGAGCGTAAATATATATCATAAAGAGTAAAGCACATCACTTACCTCTCCCATTCTACTGGCGAGACGGGCTCAGCTTTGAAACGTTTTTCTCCTTGGATTACTCCTTTCGCAGCCGCGGCTTGGATTCGCTGCTCGAACTCATCCTGACATTTCCCCCAAAGTGTAATTCCCAAAATGAGCCTCAGGGTGAAATACCACTTCTGTAAACAGTGCTTACAATATACCAATCAAATACTCTTTGAACGTTAAGCGTTGAACATTTACTATTCACACAGTCAGGTCCACAGTCAATGCATCCACAATCTAGGAATCTGCTTGTCATTACTGAAGTAGCAGAAGGACGTACCACAGGAGGCCTCACTCCAAAACCAAGTTTCTTCTTGGGCTTGGTTGGATTATTCTTACTCCATACTAAAGGAATGATCAGTACACCTCGCTTGAGCAAGTCTTCTCGATATTTCTGGGATGCACGAATAGACCTCTCCACATTCTCCGCCGTTCCTGCTATTATGACCTGATAAAAAAATGCGAGAAGAGGTCGTAGGGCAGGGGCAAACATGTTGAAGTTTGACGTAAAATCTTGTGCAAGAGTTCAGATTCCCAGTTCACATCAACTTCATGATTCAATACAAGGGTTGAGTTAGAGGCAACTTGATAAGAAGATAAACTTTCAGGATTCGCATAATTAGCTTGCAACAGATAAAAGCTCACCGGTCGAGTATTCTCTCGCAACGCCGAGAGCTCCACTGTTCGATTGTTCGCCAGGCGAACAGGCAGCCTCGAAAGTGTTTCGTCCCTAGTAATCCTAGATATTTGCTCTTCTTCCTTTTTATTTTCCCACAGGTATATGGCTATAAACGCTGCACCTCCTGCTCCGTGCGACATTGGAAAATTTGTCAAGTCCAGACCTCACCAACCCCCACTTAATTCACAACGTCTTTTTACTACAATTATCAACAAGAAACAAGAAACAAGAAACCAAAATATTTCCCACATTTCCGAGTTCCCAGAACCACAAAGCTTTGCCTCGATGCAATACAATCTTCGCTAAAATTTGTACCTCCAATGTTGATGGCTAGGTTCTGCACAGTTTCAAGTACGCCAGGTGCCCCATCTCCGCCCTGAATTGCGAGGATGAATCGGGGAACTGTGAAGAGTGTAGAAATTCCAGCTGCTAAAAACAAAGCCACGTAGAAGAATTTGCGGATCCCCCTAAATGGAGCTTGAACCTCGCTGATTAATTTCAGATCCCTCCGAAAACTCCCGCCCACTTCTTCTCCACCTTTCCTGGCCTGCATGGAACATACAAGTGAGCATTGCTAAGGAATTCGACAGGCAGAACATTAAAGAAGACCTTAGTCCAAATTGTGATTTGGAGTACTCTACCCAAAGTACCGATCTTTCACAACATTCTTTCCACTAATAAAAACATTGGATGCAACCCTGAAGAATGACAAGTTCAGCTAGGTTCTCAAGCTTAAGCCGAAAAAAAAAAAAAAAAAAAAAAAAAAAAAAAAAAAACTGCTGATGCGATAACTTTCTACCTAATTTCATCCCAAAGTCACGTCGAAACATTATCAAGGGGCACTAACCTCCTCTTGCAACTGCTTAAATTCTGGCATTGCTCGAAAAGGAGCCATGTCCGGATCGTTCAAGATGACACTGAATTTTAGGTTATACTGTTTGAGAGCTCGCCTAAGCGCTTTTGAGGCTTCCTTCCCTTCTTCACTGTATCCAAGGCAGACAACTCAATTAGCAAGGATGCATGAACCTGGTCATGTGAATCTGAATCCACAACATTCCACTTATCCCTTCGATGGAAAATTTGCATTGAATAGCTGATGGTTAGAACACAAGTAACGTCTGAAGTGGCACTGGATTTCTAGCCCACATGGGGGACAAATAACAGAAGTGTACCCAACCTGCGGACATGACAGCAGGCCTTATTGTATAGGGCTGCTTGAGCCTCCTCCTCACTCGGATTCATCTCCAGGGCGGCGTCGAACAGTGCCAGAGCATCTTTAACCTGAACGCCACGACACAAAATTTAGCAAAGCAGGAACGACACGAAGCTAGAGGACTTCTGTAACCCCTCACGATCAGGAGCTAGTGGAACCAAGCACGAATTCTGAACAGCTGGCCGTCCGCAACCCAGGATTGCCCGCCCATCTATTGAAATTCAGTCCATTAACGCGTTTTAGATCCGACTGGTAGATCAGGCATATCATTTCTGAACCGACTGACATTAGGAATCGTTCAGAGGCTAAACCTAATTAAGTGTGGGGAGAGAACAGTTTGTGATTCACATGACCCCAAAATTCAAGCCGTAGGGTTTTTCTTTCATACTAACTGTGAAACAAAGCTCAAAATGAAAGGATGAAATATCTGATAAAATCCATGAAGTTCACATGTGCAGTTCTAAACCAAGGTCCACACAACATATAGTGTTTGCCCTTGGATTCAAATGCGACCGACAAGTGGGACCACTTTCACTTCGTCGGTATCCATCCATCACGTAGTCTAGTAGTTCTCTTGTCGTCGCATGGCCAAAATTTCACAAAGAACATTTATCATAACCATTTGTAACACTGTCAATTGCCGCAGGCAATCACTGCTGTGGGTACGCATCCCATGTCCATCGAAATCACAAGTTGAGGAGTGAGAGGCACAAGGATGGACTGGAAGGGAGAAGGAGCAATTCCATGCTGTACCCTGCCTTTGGAGAAGAGGGCCAGCCCCGAATTAATGGCATCCGCGGGGCTGGACGGAGTTGCAGTCTCAGACGATGCAATGTTCGAATCCGAAGCCCTCACAAGCACGTGCCTCCGCGACCCCATCGCTCGTCCCGGAGCACAGTTTACATTGCTTCGATCTTGAGTAACAATTCGCTCCCCTCGTCTCCTCCTCTCATCCAGCAGCACCAAACTGCCAGCTCTTGGCGCCGAACATCGCGCCCTGACAGAGGCCCTCGGTGAGCCCAACGCAGGGACTCCCCTCACAGAGAGCAAAGCTTGCATTGTTCCTAAACCCCCCAGAGGCAATTCTCAACTCCTACCCCCACAATGTTGCACTGTCTTTGAAACACCACCAAGTTGGTTCCACCCCACAACGCAGAATCATCACAAGCTCCCACAGCTGGTGCAAGAATCAGAAACCAATGACAAACGCAGCTCAAGAAAGAGTCACACAACACCCAGAAGTCCTCAGCACCAGAAAAAACACACACACGGCCAGAGCCACTACGACAACGCAGAGGCAGCTCCAGCCACGAGGCAGATCACGGACATATACACACACACAGACGGGGACAGAGAGAGAGAGAGTGGCATATCCTCATCACGAGGAGGCTCCGCCACACCATCATCCACAGCGACGCAACCACGAGTCTCCCACAAAACGAGCTCAGGCCTTTGCGATCGACGCCGTCCGAAGAGGATTGCCTGTCCGGCGTCCATCGGATGCGCTCCGACATCGCCACGAGCGGAGTGAGTGAGTGAGTGCGTGTAAGTGTATAATTTGAGATGTATGGGGTTTGCTTGATGCAATGCTTAGTATTAAGATTGAATCTTGAAGGCATCCCATGTCCTCATACCTTATTATTGTTATTATTAGTAAATAGATTTATTTTTATTTTTATCTTTATAGCAACTTAATCATATTAATTAATATTTTTTTATTTGATTGTAAACGATCAATCCATTGTGTTAAATTCTGTAATTTTAGAATTTTATTTGTTTATTTATTTATTTCTATTTTTAATAAGAGCATCTTATGAGCAATCTGAGATTCATCCAGATTGCATATAATGTTCTATTCTTTGTTGGGTTGTTTTTTGAACTTTTTGATAATTAATTTCTACATCATGTGGTTGTTTTTTAATAAGATTTGACCATATTAAATCCTAGTTTGTTTGCTATTCTACTCCTTTCTAATAAAAGAAAAACATTGCATTACATCCATATTGTTTAGAAACATGATCAATATAGTAATGATCATATTGTTCTAAATCTTACAAAGCTGGACAAAATCTCTTTCACAAATATTATTTGTTTTTAGAAAAAAGTATTTCACTTACAGCCTATCTCTGGTAGGACTTGCAACTGATTTGTGGAATACTGATATTATTCAATCTCATATACATCTTGCTTGGAAATACCTCCAAAATTTATATAGTAACATTTTTCAAAGACCTAACATCCAAAATTGGAATAGTGGAGATGTGACTTTGTTTAAGTATGTCTTTTACACATTGACAACTACTCTTCTATCATATGTATATATGTTCTATAATCTCTTGGTCTATGTTACATGCCTTTTCAACTAATTTTATAATTAACTTATATTTTATTATTCTATTTGAAAATAATCAAGTTTCATATGATATATTGTTTTTTTCAAGCCAATGCATTGAACTGCCTGTTTTAGGATGATGATTTCAATCTTTGTCTTGTCTATCATTAATTCATGGACAAAGAGTACAATTGGTCCACATCATATTATTATCATTGAAATCTGGAAGTATTGGATTTCAATCTATATATTTATACCATGTGCTATCACAATGGTTTTGTATTGAATATATGGTGTTCTTTTGTTTTTTAGATCGCTATTTTTTTTTCTTATAGTATGTTCATCTCATGTTTATTTCTTCATAGTATCAAAGCAAAATTTATTGCATAGCTTGCTTTTAAAGTATTGAGATTTTTGTTATTATTAAAGTTTTCTTTTCTCCTCTTTTATCTCTCTTTCTTTTGTAATATTGACACTGTAATGGTGTGTTTTCTAAATTATCTATCTAACTCTTATTTTATAATAAACAAGTGTCTACAAATATTTTTTTTCTTCTTCTTCAATTTCTCTTTCATTTTTGTCACGTTTCTTTTCCAAAACATGTGAAATAATAAGCTTCTATATAGATATCTTCTTTCCTTCAAACTATATGTTCTTATGATACAATAGTATTTCATTACTTCCTTTCACTTTCTTTTCTTCTTTGCATATCACATATTGTACCTCAATACCTACAAAAACAAAACACACCATGAATACTAACAAAAGTGTTTGTTTTAAAAAAACAATGTTAACAAGATCTAAAAACTACAAACATTGGGCTATGATGATGTACAACATTTAAAAAAAAAATATCTATAGAGCCTCATTAAACTTAAAGACTATTCTATTACAAACTAAGATAAGAAGGGCAAGGAAATGGTAGCAAAAGACATCACTACAACATCTAGAATTTTTTTAGTCAATTACAAATGCAAGCAGTATTCTAAGGCATTTTTCCAACTCTTCATTGTTCCAAATTTATAATATACTATTATTGACAATCAATTTGAAGTCATAGTTTATAAAATAATAAATTGTTTATTAAAGCATTTTAAAAAACTTGTAACTTACATGCAAAATGAAAAGACTTATTATCTTTAGATAAATTGTGGAGTTGATTGCATATGGAAGAAACTAATGCGATCCTCAAAAAATATCAAAAACCTATACATGAAGCCATTCTTATACAATGTCATATTATATGTATTCTCACTTAAGAATGCATCTAGTTGTGGAAGGTAAGTAATAATGCAACAACAATTCTACCAAGTCTAATAGAACTTTAAATAAACATTAAGTAATTCTTAATAATTTAGTTAAAGTTTAACTTATCAAAATAAATTTAAAAGAAGTTATAAAAGAAATATAAAGAATTTTGAAGAAATACTAAAAATAAAAACTTTAATATAATCTTAATTAAAATCTTAATTGAATCTTAATAAAATCTTAGGTCAAATCCTAATTAAAATCCTAATTGAAGCTTAACCAAATCCAAGGTCAAATCCTAATTAAAATCCTAATTGAAGCTTAACCAAATCCAAGGTCAAATCTTAATGAAATTTCAATGAAATCTTAGTTCTTAGACAAATCCTACACAAGTTTTAAACCAAATCCTAAGTAAATCCTAATCCTAATTAAACCCTAGATCTTAAACAACCTAAATGTTAAACTTCAAGTACCAATATCTTCTTCTTGAACCATTGAATTACTCTTAAATTTCATTTAAATGCTAGAAATCAAGTCTAGTATCTATACAAAAAAAATTCACTTCAATCCAATCAATAGATTGCTCAAGATCTTTGAAATACATACTAACCCTCAAACTCCAATTTTTGAGACCTCAATCCTTTGAAAACCTTCACACACTTTGATTTAACTGTTTGATTGACCTTAGAATTTGTACATATATTTATAACTAGCATACAAATATATTGCCTAAATTTCTTTCATAAATACACCACAAAGCTCAAGAAATCCTCAAATTTGTAAACATATTTTTATTTTTCAAAATCTAAACCAACCAAGAACATTATTAATTTTGAAAATCCCTCAAAATTTTAATATTGATTCAATTGACATGAAACTAATGCCTAAAAATCTCTCCTCATATTCTACTTTCTAATTTACAAAAGAATTCCAAAATCACTATAGGTACGTGGTTTTGTGCCTCAAGGTCTAATTTTAATCCATGTTGACAACCAATCCTCTCTAAGTATCAATTCTTGGCTTCTTGAGGTAAATTTTGCTAAAATCTACTCTTAACTCCTTTTTGTATATGTCTATATCATTTAATTTTCCATCTACTTTTTTTTGCTTTATTTATGGCCCTACAAAGTAAATAGAAAACTATTTTGCAAAAAAGCACCATTAGCATTTTTAGTTTTATTATCTTTCGACTATTATCTATATTTCTAAGATAATTTGTTATAATATTTTAAAATAAGATCTTGTATAATATAATATTTTCTTCTTTCTTTCATTCATTAGCCATATTACATCACAATAATGGATTCAAAATATCTACTACAAAAGACTTTATAGAAGCTCTCTACATCATTAAAAGTAGAATTGTAGTGTAACAAATGGAATTTAAGGACCTCACCATCATCACTAAGGATAACTACAAGGTCCACTTATTTGTTGACAATGTGGCAAAGAAGGGCACACCTCAAATGTATATAGTGTACTTGCCAATATGATTCTTCATCAAGGCTACACTAACAATTGTCCAACTACTAAAAAGTCAAGTAGATTTTCTTTTATATCACCAATATACAATATTTGTAGAGTCAATGTTATTGAAAAAATTATACTAATTTTAATCTATTTGATCTACCAAGTGATAAAGCTATCTTAGAAACTTGTGAGCTACTAGCACTTAGAAACAAAGTCAATAATGAATGGATTCTAGATTTTAGTGCATCAAAGTACTTCATTGGCAACTATTCTACAAATGACTAGATAGACCCCTTCTAAAGCAGCATAGCTACTTTAGTCAATGACAATATCCATATAATTGTAAGATAAAAATTAGTCAACTTGTCTATATCTATTGGAGAAATAAATACTCTCAAAGAAGTTTGATATATTCTTAATCTATAAAGAAATGTACTATCTTTTGATTATATAACAAATATTGGCAACTTTTATCTTTTCAAACCTAAATAGTGTATTGTCATCTTTGCTACTAAGTCATATAAAATTATAGGCAAATGCCAATGAAACTATATTCTTTCCAATTAAATCCTTGGCTCACTCAAGTTATTTTATTGTGCTTATTAATAGCTTTTTCAGAAAATCTTCATGATTTCAAAAAATCAGTTTCTTCGCATGTTCAAAAAACTTCACATGATGGTTGAAAAATAGATCTCCAACCACATTTTTTTACTTTGATCTTAATAAGGTGGTAAATTTATGTCATAAGACTTTACTAAGTACTTATAAAAATACGATATCACTCATCAATTATCCATTACTTATACATCCTAACAAAATAGAATACCAAAAATATATATATATATATATATATATATATATATATATATTTAAAAAAAATGAGAAGTATAGTTATAAATAAGAGCGTACTTTAAATACTTTGAATTGAAATAGCTCACATTACTATATAATTCATTAATTATATTCATACCTATGTAAACTATAGTATGTTCTATAATTATCTCTTCTATGATATAAAATTAGATGTTAGTTTAATAAAAGTGACTAGATATTTGTGCTTCATGGATAAAAATATCATACAAAGACATGAGCTTGAATCAAGATTAGAATTTGATATTTATCTAGAAATTGATGATGAGTTTAAAGATTATAGAGTGTACTTTTTTACTCATCACAAAATCCAAATCACTTGAAATTTCTTCTTTGATGAAATACTTTTTTTCAACTTAGACCTTCTAATGAAAATTCTTATTGCTAATGACCTTCAATCACTTCACTTAAAAGAAGTTATTTTTAGCAATAACAATAATGATGAAGATGTAGAATTTGAGACTACATCTTCTTCTCATATTACTATATTATTTCTTGATAATACA